CCCCCACTACTCTCACATTACCCCATTGTATTGTTTATAGCATTATCACGAACCAAAAATACCACTTGCTTGCCTGTTGCCTGTCTCTCCCCAGTAGGGTATATTTGTTCCGTTAGAGTTACAGCCTCAGCCTAGAATAGCTATTAAGCCATTGAGTCCCTCAATAAGTGCTTGTTGAATGAAATGTTTGCAGTGCTTACCACATGGTATAGCAGTTTCATATCCCCCCATAGGATGTGGATTGGAGCAGGGAACTGTCACTTTTGTAATGGATACCAGCGCCAGGCACTCAGTAATTGCCAAGTTTAAGCATTCCACTTCCAGTAGATATTTATGGTGTACAAAAATTCTTTTCAGGTCCTGCATCTTCAGTATGGAATGTATGTTTGGCCCTGTGCTGTGGTCCTGGCCCAGTACCTGTGGTTTCACAGAAGATCTCTACCAGGCAAGGCTATCTTAGAGGTACATGTGCCCTTGATGCTTCAAATCCCCGGTGTTCAGATATAAGTCTACATGCTTGCTATTGGCTTTTGTTAAATACAGGGTGGGGCCTAAGGTAGGTTTACAGTTAGTGTAAATCCACCTTTTGCCCATACTGTATTTTAAAATTGGGTAACTTGGCCAGCTTATTCAGGCATGAGAGCTTAGAATGATTTTTACATTTTTAAAGTGGCCCACCAAGACCAAAATATTTACTGTCTGGCCATTTACAGTTTGTTGCTGAAGCCCTTACTCTAAGTGAATGAAGCCCATTGACTAATTTGGCACAGAAGCAGTAATTAAGGCCACTTTCCTAGGGTGTCCCAATAGGGTCATTTGGGCTCTAACACTTGTCTTTCTCACAAAGTAGGCTTTACATTTTTTACATAATCTTGAGATTACATTTAAAATGTGTCCCAGGCTCTTTCTCATCATTGCTGGACTTGAGACTGCTGGAGGCCTGGAGAAATAAACTTGTCAAGTTTGCAGAACTTGCAGTACTATGCTTAAACCCGAAGGCTAAACACAAATCAGAAGCTTAAGAACCTCATTTTTGCAAAACCTATCAATGAAGGGTAGGGAAGGCATTTGGCAGACTTCTGCCCCCTAATAGTGGCAACTGTTAGGCATTCAGAAAAGGTTGAGACTCAGTGCCCATCCTATCCTCAAACTGGACAAGGGAAGCTTTTGGTCCCATCAATGTTAACACAGGCGTTCCTTGGTTACTCCTTATGAAGTGCCATGCCACTTTAAACCACTGGAAAATCTCTTCATAGAGAGCCACGTTATAAACCCGTCAGGCTTTATTCACAGTTAAAATCAGCAACTGGCTGTGTATGTTAAGTCCCCCATGGTGCTTCTAGAGACTTGTACCCTATGACTAACTCCTTTATGAGAACTAAAAATGACAGAACAAGTGTCCCAAGACTACTTCTCTGGACATAGTAAGCAACGAAATGGCCTAACACACATTGAGCTTGGAAGCAGCTGGTTGCAGAATACAGGCCCTGTATGGGACTAACTGCACTTTGACCCAATTAAGAGGAATCACAAGAACTCTTGTCACAAATTCAAAGCCCAAGGTTCCTACAGGTTAAGGCATTTTAATGACACGTTTTATAGACATAAGCTCAAGAACATACACGTTGAGTCTCTACTCATGAGGATGAAATGGGGAACTATCTGCTAAGATCCAAATTCTTTGCAATTCTAGGCAGAAACTAAAAAATTTTCACCTTTCAAATTTACTAGATTGGAGCTGGAGTGAGCCTTCCAGGAATTATAGCTGCAAAATGTGGCGCTGAAGTAATCCTGTCAGATAGTTCAGAGCTGCCGCACTGTCTAGAAATCTGTCAGCAGAGCTGCCACATGAACCACCTGCCACAGGTGCGTGTTGTAGGACTAACGTGGGGTCACCTACCTCTGGACCTTCTGGCTTTGCCACCACAAGATATTATTCTTGCATCTGATGTGTTCTTTGAACCAGAAGGTAATTTTTTTTGCTTAATAGTAAATTTAGCCAGATGCAATGTAAGTAGGAAGCTATTAATAAGCCCTTCCTTCCCAGATTTTGAAGACATTTTAACTACAGTGTACTTTTTGATGCAGAAGAATCCCAAGGTCCAGTTGTGGTCTACTTACCAGGTAAGAAGGTAAGACCAACTAATCCTGGTTTACTCAACTTTATTAAGTTAAATTAAGCCTTACTAACGCAATGCCAAAGAATAAAGTGGAGGAAAAAAAAAAAATACCTAAAGCAAAACAGGAAAATCATAATTTTAAAAAAGTTTATTTTTTTCAGTGCTGACTGGTCACTTGAAGCCTTGCTCTACAAGTGGGACATGAAATGTGTCCACATTCCTCTGGCGTCTTTTGATGCAGACAAGGAAGATATAGCAGAATCTGCCCTTCCAGGAAGACATACTGTTGAAATGCTGGTCATTTCCTTGGCAAAGGACACTCTGAATTATACCTACAAGCTGACCACCTCAGCTTGAGAGTACAAGCAGTGGATTTGAAGATGGTCAGATCTGTTGGCCTTAAGACTGTGATGGGTAACCTAGACAATGTTCATGGAGACTACACAGCCATGAAAACAAAAATTAAAACACCTATTAAGAAAAGGACTAAAATTGTTCCTAAGTCATTAAAATAGGGCATAAGTTAGGTTATGAAAGGAGTACCCACAACCTCAAAGTGCTACCATAGAGCATCAATTTTAGAGAGAGTGGGTGCTGAACTGGCATTTTCCACTTTAAAAAGTCAGCTAAGCATTTCACTTTCATACTATACAGTCAGTAACATTCACAAGAAAATTGCACAGGTCTTTCAAATAAAGGGAGGAAAAAAGACCAAGACATATTCTGAGAAAAGCTAACACCAAGGAACATTTTAATTAAACTATAGAAACAATGGTTATAGTACAGAATATTTATGAGCAAAAAAGATACACCATGTTTTAAGTACTTACAAAGTTACAAACCATTTGCTTCCTTAACATTTTTCATATTTTAAGTTCATACGCGAAGATGATCATTTTTACCATTTGGTGGAGTGGGGGTAGAAAAAAAAAGGTGTATTTATCATCAGCTAGATGTGCTCACTGTATGCTCCGTTATTTATATGCAAGGCCCGGGTGACTGGAAGTGCAGTTGTCAGGCATTTTAATAAACTGGACAGCCATTTGTTTCTGCACGACAAGGCATCTTTACACAGGAGCAATCGGGAGAAAACAGGAAACAGCCAAGCACTCTGCACTGCAACACGCCACCTTAACAGCTAACCAGCATTACTCAACTGCTACACAACTGCGCCTAGTGCACAAAAATACATAAGAGAAGAGATTAGAATTGTGTTTGGTAAACAATCCTTTCAAAAAAAAAATAAAAAATCAAGTCTTTTCACCTGAAAAGTCTTTACACAAATTTAGGTTCAGATTACCATTTAGATCTGAAGATATATAGCATACACAAATTTACACCAACTTTTGTAGGTTTTTAATTCTAAGGAATGAAGGCAATGCTGAGTCAATCTCTTGACAGCTTTAGGCTGTGCGTAATGGCTGCACGTTTCCTTAAAAGTCAGGAGGCCACAAATTAGGTTACCAATCTGTTTAATTTCAAACAAAAAAAGTCAGCACTATATAAACAAAAAGGAAATTTTACCTCAAATATCCAAGCCAATAATGAAATCTGATGTCGTTCACCTCACTAAATTACAAGAAATTTGAATAACAGCAACAAAATGGCACATAAAAGGAATTTGCCACCTGAGGCAAAGCTTAAAACAAGTAAAAAGTTAGACAAAATGTTACAAAATAACCTTTTCAATAGCCAGTTGCTTGTTCCAAGGACTCTTTGATGGACTGAGCATGTGGTCCTTTTCCTCCATGTTTTCTGTTATGTTGCTTGTCGACACATCTAGGTTTGAAAAGAAATTAAGTTCAGTTTGCCCTCCATTACTGTGAGGTCGCCCAAAGTGCACATGGTTTCAATTTCAGGCATGTACTTACTAAGGCTCTGGTGAAACAAGTAGGTTACAGAAAGGTTCCACCCAGCCATTCTCACAATTTTTTAAAGGCCCAAATTAGAAAATGTCCACATCAGCATTTACAAATTTGTGCATTCTTGGCCAAATAACCAAGGTGAAAAATGGTAAAGGGAAGAAAAAAGAAAAGGGGAAAGGGAAAAAAAAAAAAGAAAAAAAAAAAAGGGCTGTATCCAAATGTCCAAACAAAAAACTTGAAATCAGATAATTAGCCTATATTTTGAGATAAATTTCGTTTTCAAACAAAACATTTGGCAACTGAGAATAGTGCTTTAATATCTGAGCTACTTAGGGCCCTTCCTTTTAAAAAATAGGACCAAACAATTTTAGAGTTAAAGACACACTATCCTTTCCCCACCCAGTGCAATACCTGCAAACTTTTTTTGGGTTCCAAAAGTTCATTGCTTCTTTTTGCAATTCTTTTGCCACATCCATTAGAATAGTGAAGTCCCAGTCAGTACAACAATAGTTGAACTGATTGTTTTCTCTAAGAGGATAGTGCATCTTTAACATTTAAAGACAAACCTGCTCCAATACACGCCCACAGAAACTGGTCCCTGGAGGATCAGCCAAATCAGTTAAAATCTGCAATACTGGCCAATATTCTTTTATCAAACAGGAGACCGCAGCTTTAAAGGGGAAAATGCAGACGTTGGATAAAAACAGCAAGAAATAGTCATTTTCATTAATAGGTCTCAAACAAGTTTACGAAACAGCCATTATTATCTAAGCTTTACACACATCCTTTCTGCAGACCCCTCTTCAGAATTACTCCCAAAGCTGAGTTAGCTCAGAGCAGCGCTCCCGACACGAGGAGCCACTTTCCTACTAATACGGATCAGAAAAGCTACTCCACACCCCATTTCTGAATTCGGGCCGTGTGTCTCGGATCCCCGCGGACATTACCGTTTGCTTAAGAGGACACGGCTCCCTCCTCTTCAGGAGACTTGGGGGGGCTCTTGGATCGCGACCTGGACTTGGACTCCCTCTTGGACACGGGCGGCGGACTCCTGGACCTAGACCTGGACCTGGAGCGCGAGCGGGACCTGGAGACCGAGGACGACTTGGACTTGGATCTTCGCGCCGACCTGGACTTGGACGTTGACCGCGATCTCGAGCGAGTGCGAGACCGAGACTTGGAGCGACTGTAGCGAGACCGACTCCGGGACCGGGACCGGCTCCGACTCCGCGATCGGCTGCGGCGCCGCCGCCTAGGGCTGCGGGCGGAAGAGAGAGTCGCGTCAGGCCCCCGCGATCC